GTCTGTGTTCCCTCTGTCGGCCTTCACCAGCTCTGATGGTGCTCTCCAGCGTGGGACGGCTATGAGGAAGCCAACGAAGGCCACGCTCTGACACAGCAGAAGCTGCGCCCTGGGTGTTCTTGGGTGTCAGCTCCCAGGAAGCTTTTCATATTCACTGTCTTCCTTCCACCTCAGAGCCATGGACGGACTGTGCCACTGTCGCACAGCCCACCGGGTCAGGCTGGGAAGCTGCTCTCTGGGTTCCGTAGGGATCTTCTCTTTCTACTCGCTCTCCCTGTGTGAACCTGCCTAGTCCTGCATCATTAGTCACCATGTAATTCCTCCCTGGCCCAGCCACTCCTTGAGAGCCACTTTTGCTTCTAGCTGCTCAATGACGCTTACGCTTTCCTGTCCCACAAACACCTGAAGCGCAACACCTCTAGACGGCATTCTGCATTTCCCCCCACTCCCAAATCTGTTGCTTTTCTGAGGACCCCGCAGCTCAGTGAATGACAGGGGCCATTCGTTGGGCACCAAGGACTGACCACTCATCCCCCAGGGCCTCTGCTGTGCAGTGTGCCTCACCCCGCAATCTCAGCATGAGACACAGACACCTGTCTTCCTGACTGACAGTGAAACAGACTTCAGGGTTGTAACTCCCGCGGTCACAGCGGCAAAGCCAGGTCAGGACGCAGGTTTCTGATTCTGGAGGTTTGCCCTTATCCCTCTGTTCTCGTTTTTCCAACTTCTGTTTCTTCCTTAGCCGTCTGAAGGTCATTATCATCCTCGGACCTGTAGGGCCTCCACGCTGTGTAATTCTGGGGTGACATTTACAGCGTGATATTTATATCACTGATGTGAACAGCAGATTCTAGCATTACTTGGGGACAGCAGTCTGAAGAAACTAGCATGAGAATAAACCCCGGTGGGTGGCAGGGTGGTGACCACGGGGCTTCCTTTGTCCCCTCGCATCTCTTCTGACCCCATTTCCCCCTTCTTCTCCTCTCTTCCACCCCAACCCACCCATTCTGTTCACCACACACCTCTTCACCCAGAAGTTCTGCCATGCTGGACACGAATGGGTCATGTATGGTGCAGGAGCGCGAGGAGCGAGAGCGCATCCGTTGGGCTTCCCAGGTGCCTTAGTTGCTTTTCTCGTTGCTGAGACTAACCACCCAGCACCAAGAGTGAAAGGGAGGACAGGTTCATCGAGCTCAGTTTGTAGAGGTTTTTGTCTAGGCTGGCTCCAAGGCAGGGTGGCACGTGGCAGGGGGCGGCTGTTCATGGCCCTGGAAGACAGCCACAGCAATAAGGACAGGAGGGTGCGGCGGAGCCTCTTCTGTCCCTTAGGCTACATGCAGGCTACCTGCCCTGGGGCGGGTGTAGCTCTCACATCCTCAATGCCAGCATTGGACCATGAATCAGTCACAAACTGATTCATTATACCAGTTATATTATACCTGGCTTATGGTATAATCTTGAGGGATCCTTCCCTCAAGGGGACCCCCACTTTTTTTCTGAAGGCCTTTTGCTGATTGGGTGGGGCTCACTCACATTATGGAGGCTGTCTATTCTGTTCAAGTTGGCTGACTGCAAGTGTCCCCCAGATCTAAAAAGCATCTTGCTAACACCACCAGGCTGCGCCCCAGTCACCTGGCCAAGTGGCAGCCTTAGAGCCTAGTGAGGAGACCCAGAAAGTGAATGCGCTCAGGGAGGAGCCACCATGGTGAGGCTGCAGACGTGGGATGTCTGCTGGGCTAGTAGGATGTGCACAGGCACTGGCGAGACCTCCACAGGGAGCCTGTAAGACTTAGCAGGAACCCCTGGATGTGCACAGGAAGGAAAAAGCCCTCCAAAGCAGAGGCAGCACCGCAGTTTGTAGATCCTTTGTCAGTGTCAGCCATGTGGATGAGTCACGGCCATTGCTTGGCCAGTGTGCTCTCTGTGAAAGTCCAAGAGAATGTTTTCTCGCCAGGTGACTCTTCTTAGGCACACTCTACATCATTGATCACTTTCTTCTTTGGCCCCATAATCTCCTTCATCAGAAAATTTGGGACACAATTGAGTTACATGATGTTATAATACAGGTTCTCCTATGTCCTGAGTCCTGACTGACCTTGAAAAGCTAGGGCTAAAATGTTGGCTGTCCTAGCAGCCCTTCTTTTTCTCTAATTTTTAGTCTGCTAACTTAAGTTGTTAACCCTCCAGAAGAGAAGCTTAATGATATTCCTGAGGGGATTTGACTAACCTTGGCAGATACAAAAGTTACATTTCTTGTTATATAGTTCTTGCTTTATCTTGGTCTTCACCATCTAGCAGAGAAGTACAAAAATGAAGTATAAAAAGTAAAGCCAGGGGCTGGTGAGATGGCTCAGTGGTCTAAAGCACCTACTTAGAACAAGTTTAGCAAAGCTACAGGGACTGTGGTTCAAACCCCCAGCACCACATGCCAGCCAGCCCGCCCCCTGGTGGGCTGAGCTGGCCACACAGACACACACACACACACAAATTTTAAAGAAAGTAAAGCCATACTAATATGCTGAGCTGTGAAAGGCTCAAGTCAGCACCTTCTGACACTGCCAGTCCTACGGATAACCCACTACTATTATGGACTACTGGACTATATTGGATTATTTTGCTGAATTCACGCACCTACAATATTTAAATGGCAGTGGAATACCCAGCTCTGACAAAACTAAACAAAAAAAAAGGCAGTACAAATGAAGGACCATTTCGTATCTGTATATACAAAATAGGATAGATATACAGCTACTTTCTCTTAATTCATTGAGAAGAAAGATTTGTAGTAATAGTGTTTGGACAGGATATCATGTCTGCATCTTGTACTATGAATAAGACTATGAAGACCACACTATGCAATGTATTAAGTATTGAAACTGTCCTACTAATTTTACGGTTTTAAACCTGCCTCACTGCTATTTATTTCTCAATAAAATTAATTTTAAAATAAATTATCAAGGGGCTGGGGAGATGGCTCAGTAGAATAAGCACGTCCCTAGCAAGCACAAGAGCCTGAGTTCAATCCCTGGTTCCGAAGGAAAAAACAAAACAAAACTAAAACAAAAAAACCAGAGCGGCCCCAAGGAGCTTCCGGAAAACAGACCCAGGGCCAGAGCCTCCCCCACTTCAGATCAGCAAAAGAGAAGCGCAGCTAGCCCCTCAGGGAAGGGCCTGGGGTCACACCCCAAGTCTGGCAAGGGCAGCTCCCCAGCCCTCCTGTGTCTGGCTGCTGAAACGCTTGCGACTCCATCCAGCGTGGAGCCTGCGGCCGCCGCGGGAGCCAAGAGTCCCTGCACAGCGCGGAGGCAGAACCTTCCAGTGTTACTTGCACTCTCCTTGGCTGTGTGAGACCGGAAGGACTTTATTCTTAAAAAACAAAACCCCAAAATACCTTTTTTTTTTACTTAAAGAAAATGTAAAATTGTTTGTCAAGCTATTGCAACATGGGAGAAAACTGGGAAGCTATAGGAAAACATGAACATAAAACGGTCCGCATACCACAGCCGGCCAGTCTACGGTTAACGCACACAGCACGTGTGTCCCCTGCCGGCCGCCGTAGCCCCATTTCCCCTGTCCTCCTCCTTGTCCCCTCACCTTCCAGTGCCCGCAGCAGTCCGTGCAGCTTCTGAAACATCTCTGCTGCTAAAATGCCAGTTCTGCGGGGCAGAGAGGGAGCTCCCCGGTTCAGAGTTGCACTCCTGTAACCAACCGCACTAGGGCTTCATATTTGTTCAACAAATAATTTAATATAAAAGCATTACATTTTAAGTAACTAAAAACATGTAGATGGTTGAAGAATAGTGTCACTCTACTAGAAGTACACCTACTTCTTTTTTTTTTTTTTTTTTTTTTGAGACAGAGTCCTGGGCATAGCCCAGGCTGGCCTCTAGCTTACAGGGACCCTCCTGCCTCACCTTCTCAAACGCTGAGATTATAGGTGTGCTCCACTATGCCTGGCTAATAAGTACATCTATTTTTAATGTTGAATAACGCATATTCATTTACATGCCTTCTTTATTTGTCAAATAAGAATTTATTCTGAGCATCTGTCTCCTGACACCAAAAGATCTTATATAAAATAATTTTATTTATTATTTATTTATTTGATACACGGTCTCACTACGAGTGAGATCAGACTCATAGTGATCCTTCTGTCTCAGCCTACCTAGCACTGGGATTGCAGGTGTGTGTGTCACTATACCTGGTTTCGGGGCTGGCCTAGCACGCAGGGCTTTGGGGACCAGCATGGCATGCAGTACCAAGTATCCAACTCATGCTCACGCTTGTCAGGCAGGTGCTTAGACCATGGCGCTAGCTCCCCAGTCTAAAATAATTTTTAAAGACTCCATGAATTTCCATCGTATCGACGAACCGTAGTATAGCCAAATGTCCTGCGAGGTGGGCTTTCCTCTTATGAACATCATTTATCAAACATGAAAAAATGTGGCCATGAACATTTGGGACTTAAATGTCTGTACACGTGTGAGTCTTAATTGGGAGTATATTTGGCCAAAGGCTAGAAACACCTTGTGGGTCTCGGAACGTATTCCCAACTTCCAGCAAACCCGTGCGATTTCTATTCCTGCCACACTGGGGACTTGAGTTATTGTTGGTGATTGTGTCAGCTTGACAGGTGAGGCTGGCACTTTGTTTTAACTTACACAGCTGTCACCTCATGGAGACAGACTGTCTAGCGTTTCCAAAACGCACCACTTTGTAAGCAAGACCTTCTGATGAGAACGCCCGGGGAACAAGCCCCGAAGCAGGCATGGGAAGGCAGATTAGCCCACGCCCGTCTCGTACTCGAGGAGCTGAGGCCAGGGCACAGCAGCACGGGGCCCTGGGCACCTGGGACCGGAGTCCCAGGCAGAACACTGCTGTGTCTCAGCCTGAAGTCCTTGCCTAATGTCCCTTGCAGCAAACCTTTCCAAGGCCATCCCCGACCACTTACTATGGTGCAGCAAGTGGCAATAGGCTTGTTTCCTTTTTGTCTTTCTCAGGAGCAATACGACACCCACCACCTGAAACGGAAAGCAGGAAGCTCAGTGAAGCAGGCCCAGCAGAAAACAAAGAGATGAAGGTGGGGAGAAAGAAAGGGGTAGGTCCTGGTTTCTTGGGCTTCCCCTTGGGCGGGCGTCCTGTGACCCCCAAAACAGGCCGTCGCTGCTTGCACTCTGCCCATCCCTCCTCCAGGCGAATCCAATTGGAGTGAGGCCAGAAAGAGAGGCAAGCAAGCAAGCAGCGGTTGGAAGCCAGGCTCTGCGCAAAGGAGCTGTGTGAGGGTCAGGATGCTGCTCCGGACATGGCCGGTGTCTGCAGCGCCGGCCTGCTGCTGGCCGTGGCCAGAGGCCTCTATTCCAAAGGTCATTTTTTACCCATGGGTACTGATGTTGACAGTGGTCATGTCACGGTCCTTAAGGAGACACCCGAACCCCTCCCCTGCTCCCCCTGCCTCCTCCTGCAGGAAGCACTTGGCAACAACAAAGATCCTCACCCTCCGTGGGGCTCCTCATGCCCTCTCTCTAAAGCCAGATTCAAGAGCAAAAGCTGGAATAACCACGCCATGCCGGACCTCCAGTGAGTGCCTGTTTGGTTCTCCTGGTCATTCGATGGCAAGGGCACAACTGTCCCCACCTTGCAGTTGGGGAACCTAGGTCTGCATTTTTGCAGCCACCTGGACAAGGCTGTGTGGTTCACACAGGTGGAGCCAGTCTATGCCTCTTCAGTGATGGGCTTAGAAACAACTTTGTTTGTTGGTTGTTGTTTTTTTTAATAATTTTATTGAGAAACAAATAGCAATGAGACAGCCTCAAAGCTGATTACTAGCACAGTTTCAACAATTAATACATTGTATATTGTTGTCTTAGTGGTTATTCATTGTACAAGATGCAGACATGACGTCCTATCCACAAACGCTACCAGAACAAATCTCTCTATTCTCCGAATTAAGAGAATGCAGCTCTATACCTATCCTAACTATTTTCAGTACACAGATACAAAATGGTCGTTCATTTGTACCCCCTCCTTGGTTAGATTTATCAGAGAAGGGCATTCCATCACCATTCAAAATACTGTTGGTGCGTGAATCCAGCAAAACACTCCAACATAGTCCAGTAGTCCTTAATGGCAGGTTTTCCATAAGACTGGCAAGGTCAGAAGTTGTTGACTTGAGCCTCCTACAGCTCAGCATATTAACATGGCTTCATTCTCTATATCTTGTTTTTATACTTTTCTGCTGGATGGTTAAGACCAACATAAAGCAAGACCTACATAACAAAGAAACATAACATTTGTATCTGACAAGGTAATTCAAATCCCCTCAGGATTCACCCTGAAACCCTGTACCACAGTTTGCAGATCCTTTGTCAGTGTCAGCCATGTGGATGAGTCACAGCCATTGCTTGGCCAATTTGCTCTCTGTGAAAGCCTGAGAGAATGTTTTCTTTCCTGACTCTCCTTAGGCACACTCTACATCATCGATCATTTTCCTCTGTGGCCCCATAATCTCCTTCATCAGAAAATTTGGGATACAACTGAGTTATATGATGTTACAGTACAGGTTCTCCTATGTCCTGAGTCTTCACTGACCTTGAAAGGCTAGAGCCAAAATGATGGCTGTCTTTGCAGCCCTCCTTTTTCTCTAATTTTTGGTCTGCAAACTGGGGTTGTTAACCCTCCAGAAGAGAAGCTTATTATTATTACCCTACAGCATAGGCAGTTGAGCTTAACCTCACTATCTATCTGAATATCAAACATCTTAGGCCTAACATGGAACAGGTATTTTCCATCAAGTATGTTGGAACTTTAAGTCTTTATGTTCAACTTTATGTTGAACTTTAAGTCCCTACAGAATATGAAGAAAAAAAAATTAAAAATAAAAAAGTTTAAAAAATAGGAATAAAGTCACATATTTTTACACAAACATTTAGAAATCTAACCATATGCAGCCTTGTAGCAGGACAGTCCTGTGACATTTCTTTTTCTTGTCTCTGGTTTTCATTTATTACCCTTTTTTAAAAACAAACATTTACTTGAGAGACAGTATGGCAGTAATTGGTATGTCATGACAAGCAGTATGTATTTAGAAGACCAGAATGACAGGCATTCCAAGCATGTCCCTGGTATTACACATTGCTATCTTCAGTGCAGTTGCTTAGGTCACAGGTATCAGCATATATAGTTAGTCAGGGTGAGAATGGTACCAGTTAACTGCTAGTTTCAAAAACCAGCTGAAGATTCTTAGGATCATTGCCTTACCCATCTTGTGCATATAAATGTATGGTTTTGCCCCTGTCATGTTTCCTAGCTTTTCTCCTTGTTCTCTCTTTGTTGTCTAATCCTCAAGTTCTTGCTTTCCTTTTAATTGTGTTATACCTTTCTATTTGTATTTCTTCTTTTGAGTTCTTATACTAGGGAGACTATACAATATTTATACATGTGGGTCTGGTTCATTTCACTTATGAGTATATATTCAAGTGGCATCCACTTAAATATAAAAGCTTCTAGTTTATCATTCTTTATAGCTGAGTAATACTCCATTGTATAAAAATGCCACATCTTTTTCATCCATTCCTCTGGTGATGGGCATCTTGGTTGTTTCCAAGATTTGGCTATCACAAATTGTGTTGCTATAAACATAAGTACACATATATCACTATGATATGACGTTTTCACTTCCTCTGGAAAAATTCCCAGTAGGGGGACAGCTGGTTT